TTTCCCTTTGTTTTTAAACCACTGTGAAAGCCGAGTCCTTTCTCCTACAAACAAACTTATCAAAGATAAGCAAACGTTCAACCCACTTCCATAACTTATTTCCCTTTTTTAAATAGTCAAATGGGGTGCTCATAGGCTCCTTTTAATAGATTTTATACCAAACAAATTAAAAAGCAATTACTTCTCTTAATTATTATTTTTTTATAAAGTACTTACTAAAGAATGACATTGTATAAAAAGGAAATGTATTAATAATATAAATTAAAAAAACAACATAAAAATAAACATAACACGAGACACCATTACTTATATACAAAGCTTTCATGGTTTATATTCTTTTGACCGACTAGAGGTTAAGAGGTATTATAGCAAAGATAAAATAAAACCGATTTTCACAAAACACACTAATGCACTTACAATCATGACATGCTGTTGTAATTTGTTTTGATTTTTTTCAAAACTTGAACAGGCCAGCAATGAGTATCCTGTGTTCGTATTTTGAGTTTGTATATATAGGGCCTATATATATATATATATATATATATATATATATATATATATATATATATATATATATATATATATATATATATATATATATATATATATATATATATATATATATATATATATATATATCTTTATATATATATATATATGGGGGGGGGCTAAAAAGTTTTTTTGCGGGGTGGCCCTTATTTTCTAGTTTCGCCACTGATTCTATGACTGGTTTGATTAAGTCTAGGTCTAGTTTTTTCCGTAACTCTTGCTAGATCTAGATCTAGGACCTAGCTAGATAAATCACTTGTATTCTTGAATTAGATGATCCGTGAAGCTAAAAAGTAAAGATTTATAACAAATATTAAAGGATTAAAATAGTGTAATCAATCATTTTACGTGTTTTTATTATTGATTTTATTTTTAACAAATTAATTGTAGTTTGACTTAGATTTAGATCTAGATCTAGATTCATAACTTTTTCTCCCTTCGACATCTCATCTGTATATCTAGAGAAATGTATTGTATACTAAAATAAAAAGAACTGTTTAAAAAAATTGATAATAGTGTTGAAACCTAAAAAATATAGCAACCGGACGCATCGTTAAAGCCAAAGCTATAGCCGACAGAAAATTAGATTTATAACGCGTTAAAAGTTCTGAATGGGCAACACAATCTTGCATGGAAAGCGCCATTATTGTTGTAAAAAGTAAACAAATCATGTGACGTCACTATTCACTATAAGTTAAGTTATTGCTCTGAACATTTCAAATTCATGTGGTTAATCTACCAATGAATAAATCAATAAATTAATTAACATCTTTAAATAAATTTGTGATTAATAGTCTGTCTAAAAACAAAAATTGTTCTAATTACTATTTTACAGTTCGACACATAGTTCAGATTCTCCACTGTAACTAAACGAACAAACAAAAAACAAATAAATAAATAAATATTTAAACATGTAAACATGTAAACAAACTTAAGTTTTAGTAGTATACTAGACTACTCGTCATCCCTTGAATCACTGTGGGTTTCTAGGGTCATCCATAAACTTATCGTAACAAAAAAAAAAACAGTATTTAGGATTCCTAGGAAATGGCAGATTTTGTTTTCCTAACTTATCAAGGGACGTAAGGAATGCTAAAGAACTAAATGTAAATAAGTTTTTGTGAAAGGTGATACTGAGTTTGATGGTGCATGGTGATGTATGGTGTTTTTATATGATTTATTAAACAACTGCTTTATTACTAGCTATCGTATTGTTCCTTCACTAAGTTAATAGCCGGGATTTATCCTAACTAATGAAACCAAATCAATACTACACATCAAACAGATCAAACAATCACTAATTATGTTATGTATTCTTAAAGTTAGTCATTAACACTTTGTGCAATCTAATGGAGCTATTCATACCTATATTTTCATAATGGGTTTTTTGGTGATCAGAAAATAAGTAGGCTTTATCATAGCCTGGTTCTGGACCAGCATTTTTTTTCCACTCCAGTTTTGTGTGACACGCCAACTTATCTCATATCCATACTTTCCACTGGAAGATTTCCTATCAACACCATTTTGGTGTCACATGACAATTACATTCACAATCATATTGATTCACATGAACTTATTTTGGATCACTAAATAATACACTGTGCAGACATATAAATTAATTGTTTTGTATATAAAATAAATATAAGCAGTGTTTAATTGCAGGATAAATGCATGTATTTATTAATGTTATTTTTATTTTGTATGACTGTCAGCCAACAGAGCAGTAACGGTGATAAATATTTCTATTCTTGTAGCAGTTCATACACAAGGGATTTAAATTTTTTTTTAAATCTAGCTTTGCAATTCATAGAACTAAATTTATTTTACAAAACTTGAGTGGGTCTAGTTAAAGAGACTCAAAGGGTATCTAATGGCTATATTTACCTACATTGTAAAAGTAGCTTAAAGATTGTGTGTGTTGTTTATAAAGGTGTGTAGGTATTTTTTCACCATTCTTTGACCAAGGTTTTCATTTGTTTGTAGAAAAAAAAGTGTGTGGATCATTTTTACCAATTCTTTGACAAAGGATTTTATTTATGAAGTCTGGTATTATACATGTTTAGCTTACACACTGCAGTTCATGGAACTACTCCATTAAATAATGAGAATTAAATAAATAAATAAATAAAAAATGCTGTCTTTTCTATTTTAAAAAGAAATATTGCTCCATATGCTCATATTGATTTTCTTACTTGCATTTAAAGATGAAATTGAAAATTGTGTTTTAAGAATTAATGACATTTTTAAAAAATATTTATGTGAATGTCCTTGTTTTCAAAATTCTAATTTCTCTGTATTGAATAATTGTAATATTAATTTTAAAGTTATCCTATTTGTATTATTTAGTTAAACTGATTTAATGTTTTAAATAAAAGGTCCGTCATTAGTAACGGAAAAAACTAGCAAAAGTACCTAATTAATTAAATTTTTATTGCAAATATAAGTATTAAAAAATAATAATTAATTAAAGAAATAAATACCCGATCAGTCACGCGATATTGACGGTTAGATCTAGTAGCCATCAGTGCACTCGATGACCCCAGGTGTGAATGAGGCCATTTGTAGTGTTGGGGTCATCTGAGCTCAGAGATTTCTTGGACTCACTGACTACGTCTAGAGGCGTCACGTGCATGTCCAGTCTGCAGATTTAAATTTAATTAGCAATCTACAATTTGTTGATATGGACCCTCACTCAGCAGATCACCATGTTAGTATAGAAGTTGGCCATGAAGTGTAGCCTAGAATAGAGTCACTAGAAGATGGCCTAGTTGGCCATATACTAAAGTACAGATAAAGTTCTAGAACATCACCCAGGGATGTGACATTCTCCAGAAAACAACCACGTTGAAGACACAGAACATGAACACAATGTGAACATGCGCCTAACAGAGTGGGTCCGTGAAGACGGTGAAGTCACAACAACCTAAAAATATAAAAACATAGATCAGACAAAAACAAATTAGTTAATTACACAGCCGACAATAGCAATTAACTTCTAAAATAGAGCAATATTTTTTTATAAATGTAATTCATCAACACACAAGTTTTCGAAGTATTTACCGTTAATTAACGACTTTACGAAGGAGATATTTAAAAGAATTTCTATAATTTTGGATCCACAAAGTAGATAAATCTCATCCAATTTTCCTAAAGTAGTGACAATTAAAATAATAGCTATCTGTCATACAAGTAGATGGCTAACTCTGAATCGTTCTTAATTACAGTGTTGGCTCGGAACTACGATCTAGCCTCTTTAATTATATTGACTATTTACTATGTTGTTTTTCTGCCTATACGGAAAGCACGCAATACTAAGTAGTCGTTTACACAAAACACTGATCTTTAAGAACAAAAACATAAATCTGTATAATAATTTAATTTTTTTTTTATTTAGGATGGTGTTTTAACGGATCAAGATTGATATTTTAAAAATACAATTTGTGTCTTCAATGAAATTATTTACAAATATCACTTTGTCGATGTTTCGTCGGCGCGGTTGTCGAGTGTACCACCAAGACGAACTGAGACGCCATAATGGACTGCTCAAATAGTTTTGTGTTAAGGGTATAAAGAGAACGAAATTAAAATACTTTCAACTCAATAGACATGACCGAGTTGAATAGAATCAATCCATCATTATTGTTGATATGGATTTTAAATAAATGTGTTTCTCGTTAGATTTTGCATTAAAAGCGATCGTAAAAGTAATTTTAACAAATAAAAACTTAATAAATAAATAATTCAGAAATTTAATATTTTATAATTAATGTTATATAAGTTGCAAATCCGAAGAACCTGAAAATATATTTTTGGAGTTTAAGTTTACATTTCTATTTCTTTTCAACAAGCCAAAGTTGTAACCTGAAGTTTTTAGTTCGTAAGACTAACATTGATTGGCTGTACAGAAACTCCGTGATCGATTTTATGAAAAACTCATAGTAATTTGTTCTCAAAACTTGGCCAATACAATTTTTAAAGTTTAACCATTTTGTTTTGTTTTTATTTCTGTGAAAAATATAAGCAATTGCATTCATTTTGGCTTCTTAAATATTTATTTCGCTTAGTTACCGAAAATACTAAAAACATCAATTACATCGAATCTTTAGTAAAGTCCAACAAAAATCAAACAGATTTCTATAACCATATTTATTATAATAACATCGAGTATGATTTTTCAAATATTTAATTGACCTTTCAAATTAATTTCGAGACTCTTCTCGGTAGTGTCCATTCACAAATCAGATATTTGTTATGGAATGTGTGATTTGTATTTTGCTGTTTGATATTTCCTGTACATGACGAAGCGCCAGGCCTCGCTTTACCGTCTATACAGACGTGGTTTTAAAAACTTATTGACTAAGGCAGGGGAAATGTCCAGTTTAAAATCCAAATTTTATGACTTTTAGCATAAATAATTGAAGGAAGATAAAGATAGAACAGATACTCGCAAGATGTCGAATTTCGTAGGCGACGAGCTAGAGGCTATACCTCTAATGACGTTACAATTATTTGAGCTCATCTGTAATGATGTTATCAACGGCGTCATTTGTCTTTTCGGCGTTGCATTCAATATCGTCAACATGATGGTGTTTCTCAAGCAGGGGTTCAAAGACTACATGAACATTTCTTTGTTGAGTTTGTCTGTGGCCGACACGTTAGCGCTCTTGTCCCAGCTATGGACGTGTTTCAACATTAAGGCCCTGGTTCAAGACGCGTTGAGCCACTGGTATGCTGTGCTATATTTAGCATCCAGCTGGCCCCACGTGATCTCCATCCGGGTCATAAGTCTTCTGATTGTCTTCATCACATTAGAGAGGTACCTGTGTATTTCTCTGCCTCTAAAGATCAAGAGCATCATCACACACAAACGGACCATTGTGATTATTGGATTCGTGTACTTATTCTCAATATTAACTGCGATACCAATATACTTTGCGTGTTACGTAGGCCCAGTAATCGATTACGAAACAAATATTTCCATCATGGACCTAGTGTACACTGAACACGGCCCCAGAATCGAAAGTGCGATTTTATCGTTTGGTATCACTGCTCAACTGACGTCATTCATCATTGTGGTTATTCTGACCATCGCACTGGTCCAAAAGTTTATCCAGACGACAAAATGGCGTCTATCTACGTCATCAGCAACAAGGCAGGATCACGTGACCAAACGCGACAAGTCTGCTGTGAAAATGATCATCCTCATCTCCACCATCTATATCGTCTGCTACACGCCGTACTTCCTGCTGTCGCTGGCGATGGCGTGTGTCAAGGACTTCGGCGCCACGGGGAAGTACCAACGCTTGTTCAACATCACCACATCGCTCATGTTCACCACCGACAGCATCAACTCGGCCGTCAGTATCTTTGTCTACTACAAGATGAGCACAAAATATCGAAATGTTTTCTTCTCCCTGCTCAAAGGTTTTAACAAGACGCGAATGACGAAATCATAAGTTTAGATAAGTGGTTCCCAAACTTTTTCGAGCGGCGACCCCCTTTTATAAAAAGTAAGTGACCCGCGACCCCCATAGAATTAAAAAGTCGAAATTTGTATGGAAATTTATAACACTAAAATAAGGGTTTTTTTTAATAGACTTTCACTATGAACTACTCTTGATAACTGTTTTAATACCATGAGTAAAATTGTTAACGCCAACCTATGTCATTATCAACATTCACTTTATTTCTTAATTTTGTTTTTAATTGGAGAATAGTGTTGAAAATCTATTCGCTATCATCTGAATGAATATAGACAAAGACAAGCAACTGCGAACATGAACTCACGTCTGTTGATTTATCAACTTGAAAAGCAAACAATGGTGAAAGCTTGATTTCAATAAAAAATGTGTTATTTAACATCTACTGACATGTCTGCTATAAGCCGCTGAATAGTATTATTAGACAGAGATATTTGTTGCATCTTTACTGCAATGGAATGCCCAAGAATTAACTTCACCATCTTTAACATGAAGGGTTTGATGAGATTTTCTCCTAGTGTGTTTTTTTGCTTGGTATTTTCTATCGCGACTTCATTTGATGCTAGCACTAATGCTGTGTTTCCTTGGTGGAAACTTCCTGTTCAATCAAGTCTCTGACGTTTGCAACTAAAAGAAGAAGAAGAAGTTGCCGACCAAAGAACTCTATATCTTTTTTGGTGTGTTCCGAATGACTCGTCTCAAATGACGTTTTAGTTTTGAAGATTTCATAAACTCGTGACTGAGAACAACTCTGTACAGTACGCATTGCTTCTTCTCTATTCCATTTCCAGTGATGTTAGTAAAGCCGAATTTCAGATATTCTTCTAAATATTTATTTTTTGTTTCTCATTATTAAGGTTTATTATACCAGATCGCGACCCCCAGTTTGGGAACCCGTGGTTTAGATAAACTAAATGACAAAATGCGTGCATAAAAATAAAACAATACCTTCTCCATTTCCCCCATGTTGCGACTAAAAGATATGCTATACAGTGGCTAGGCCGTAACGGTTTCAGTGGCCATAGTGGACATAATGACATTGTTTGGCCATGGTGACCATAATGACATCGTTTGGCCATGGTGACCATAATGACATCGTTTGGCCATGGTGACCATAATGACATCGTTTGGCCATGGTGACCATAATGACATCGTTTGGCCATGGTGACCATAATGACATCGTTTGGCCATGGTGACCATAATGACATCGTTTGGCCATGGTGACCATAATGACATCGTTTGGCCATGGTGACCATAATGACATCGTTTGGCCATGGTGACCATAATGACATCGTTTGGCCATGGTGACCATAATGACATCGTTTGGCCATGGTGACCATAATGACATCGTTTGGCCATGGTGACTTTGAAATGGTTTGGCCATTGTTTGGCCATGGTGACCATAATGACATCGTTTGGCCATGGTGACTATGACATGTTTTGGCCATTGTTTGGCCATGGTGACCATCATGATATGGTTTGGCCATGGTGACCATAATAATGTGACTGGACCAGAGTGGCTATACTTACGGGATTTAGGGCGTTAACCTCAGACATTTACCCCCCTGTCAATTAGCCTTCAGTAAAATTTCTTCTATGGTAGTTATACACCCCCTCCCCTACCCCTGTGATACATATTATATAAGTAATGAGGGCACTTTGTTTTTGTGTTCCATAGAATGCCAAGCAGGGAAACCAAGAAAGTAATTTTATTCCATCCAGGAAACTGAACACACCTATCTCTAACCGTACTCCCTACCCTAATCCTAACTCTGATGTAAGCCATCCACTTTGTGGTTACCCACATTAATTATGTTTTTACTCATGAGTTGATGTCAGCTTAGATGAAACTGCAAACATAATTAACTTTCCACTCCAAACTAGAGGTAACCAAATCAATTAGACGACGTTAAGGTCGTGAGTTTTTTGTAGTATTATAAAGCCCATACCTTAATGCTGTGTTTACACTTAGTAAATAAAGATTCTATGGAAAGTATAAATATTGTGCCATTTGGTTTAATAATTTGAAGATCGACTTACTGATTTATTCAATTTTTCAAATTAAACACACAACAATGCTACTAATAGCAAAATTAAGTATACAGTGGTACCTCAAGATACGACTTTGATTCGTTCCGTAAAATAGCTCGTTTGTCACATTGGTCGTGTTTCAAAATAAATTTTATGAAAAATAAATAGTATGAAATGCCATTAATCCCCCAAAATGCAACCCTTGTTTTTTTGTTAAGTATTTAAAAAGTATATATTTATAAATAACAAATGTATAAAAAATATAATAAAGGATAATATAAAGAAATAAACTTCTTTCATAAATTGTTTATTCTTTGGTAGTCAGCTAACCTGAGTAAGTTAACTGAAGATGTTGGTGGAGGGGTGGGGTGGAGGAGCTTTACTTAGTTCCCCTACTCTCTACACTGTTGATGCTAAACGCTTTCGGTCACTTTAATTAACTTACTCATTACAATTTAAATGCTACATTTTATCGCTAAACTTAATGGACCTTAATTAAAATGCACTGAACATACTTGGACTTAAATGCTACAGGCTGATATATTATTACTTTCGCTTAATTTTCGTAACAGCTTTTCTTTTTACTGGACTTTGTCACACTTTACTTAAGGCCGTTTAAAAGTAAGTCTGTTAATGAAGTTTGTCTCTCCCTCCCTCCCCGTGAGAGTGTGGCGGACATGAGTTAGAAAAGAGTCATTAATTAGTTGCAATTAACATCTAGTCGCACATTTTTTGTGGGATTCTTATTTTCTATTAATATTAGACAAAATAGATACAATAAATGTTAAGAACACTAATTAATAAACTATATTATAATATTTAGTTACACGAACTAGTATTCTTTAGCAAAAATCCTTTTATGCTGGTATTTGACTAAATTTGCGTCCTGACCACGAAAGTGTTGGATTTTCCTCGATAATGAAAGGTACAAAAAGGACAGCTTCTTTTGATGTCAAATGTTATGTGTGAGATAACATCAAGATATCAAGCCTGCTTACATGTTTTTGAGTTAAGTTCCATTTTCGAACCTGATAGTCCATGGGGCTAGTGAAGTAGAGTTCACTGGGTGGACTTAGAGACTGTCTATTGACTTGAGCCGGATTCGTACTCGAGACTTTCGGGTTAGCGGTCTAGTGTCCTGCCGCTAGACCATACCGTCCTCCCTTAGTATTCTCCTCCTGTAATCTATTGAAATCTCTCATTGAAAGGGATTTACTTGACTGAATGGTTTGCGTAAACGGGAATGGCCGTTGAAATTGTAAACAAGAAAATAAAAGTAACAATAATGGCTGTGGTTTTGTGGGTGATGATGCGCTTGATCTTTAGGGGCAGGGCGACACACAGGTAACGCTCTAACGTGATGAAGACGGTGAGCAGACTGACGGCCCTGGTGGAGGTGACGTGGGGCCAGCTGCCCGTCAGGTAGAGCGTGGTGTACCAGGCGTACGGCACGTAGGGCACGATGGGGCTGAACATCATGTTCATCCACACCTGACTGGTCAGGGCAGCCGTGTCGGCCACAGCCAGACCCAGCAGGGAGATGTTCACCGACTCCTCGAAACCCTGCTTCACGAAGACGATGATGTTGATGATGTTGAAGAAGATGCCGAAGACACAGATGGCCTCACAGAGGACGCCGTAGTTGACATTGAGAAAGGTGTCCAGGGTCAGCTGGGTGATGTGGGTCAACAGGTGCTTCGGGTCAGACCGGTGGTCAAATCATAACAATTCTACAACGGTATGAGATTGTCTATAACATAACAATTCTACAACGGTATGACATGGTCTATAACATAAAAATTCACAATGGTATGACATTGTGTATAGAATAACAATTCTACAACTGTATGACATTGTCTATAGCACAACATTTCAACAAAGGCATGGCATTGTCAATATAATAACAATTCAACAAAGGTATGACATTGTCTATAGCACGGGTTCCCAACCTGGGGGTCGCGACCCCCCTGGGGGTAGCGAAGGTCTTTCTGGGGGGTCGCCAACTGGTATACTAAACCTTAGTAATTTGAAACAAAACATAACTATTTAGAAGTATTCTTGAAATTCGGCTTCATTAATATCACTGGAAATGTAATAGAGAAGAAACAAAGCGCACTGTACAAAGTTGTTCTCAGTCACGAATCTATGAAATATTCAAAACTAAAACGTCATTCGGAACACACCAAAAAATATATGGAGTTCTTTCGTCGGTAAGAAGCTAGTTGCATACGCCAGAGACTTGATCGAACAGGAAGTTTTCACAGGCATTAGTGCAAGCATCAAATAAAGTCGCGATAGAAAATGCCAAGCAAAAAAAAAAAACAATAGGAGAAAATCTCATCAAACGCTGCATGTACGTAAATGTTAAATAACACATTTTTATCGAAATTAAGCTTTCACCATTGTTTGCTTTTCGAGTTGCTAAATCAACAGACGTGAGTTCGTGTTCGCAGTTGCTGGTCTGTGTCTATATTCATGCGGATGATAGCAAAGAAGAGTTGCTCTTTTGTGAAGGTAGCATGGAGAAAATAAATACCTTTTTTGAAACTGTGTGATTAATAATTATCATTAAAAAAGTTTTTTAAAAAAACACGTTTTCTGATTGAACTAAAAAGTAGAAAATAATTGCTATACATCACAATAATGCAAGCGATCACTCTACTATAAGCGATGAAAACGTGGGGCGCCGAAGTAAAAGTTTTTTATCGGTCATTGTTACTATAAGATGTAAAAGTTATATTACTATTGATTAGATAATACTATTGACTTTTATTAGGGAGCTTGTAGAGAGTCAACAGTATTAGAAACTGTAAGAAAATCACGGCGCCCCACGTTTTTCATCGCTTATAGTAGAGTGATCGCTTGCATTATTGTGATGCATAGCATTTATTTTCTACTTTTTAGTTCAATCAGAAAACGTGGGTTTTTGAAAACTTTTTTAATGATAATTATTTTCTACTTTTTAGTCTTTGCTATCGATTTTATCTTTTCGCATTCACTTTTTTTTTGGGTAAACGAAGACAACTCGTAAAAAACACGTGCCTTGAACCCGTGTCGAGTGGGATAGCAATCGTGTGCCCAACCACTCGACCATATCATCTCCCCCATACTGGCCACCAGCTGTTACGTTCTGGTAGTTTGTACACAAACACCGCGTGACAACTACTCAGTAAGCAAAAAGAGGGAGAGTACCGAACCTTGTTTTCATCAAATTACAATTACTGGGTTATGTTCCTTTTTCCCCACGTTTTTTGTACAATTATATAGCGGTCTAAAATGATCAATAAAATGTTTCCATGGATCAATTTAGTAATAATAACAATTGAATATTCTATTGTCATCGGAAACAAAGCTTCTCTGAAAATTTCAGCGCGCTAGCTAACTGGGAAGTGCCCGAAATTTTGATCGCAAGATTTGATTGGAAAGACGCGAAAGCAAGTTAAAGAAAACGTGGGAAAATGGGTTAGAACGGCTGTGGGGGTTTGTACGGATGGTGCGCCATCTATGATTAGCTCATAATCGGGCTTTCAGAAAACAGAAAAGATTTAGCTCCCTAACCACTGCCCTAACCAATCGACATCAAGAGTCCATTGCTACTATAAGTCGTAAATTACATAAAATCTGCAGCCTTCAAAGAACTGAGCAAAAACATTAATATAGATCACGAGGTTCTGCTCTTCAACACTACAGAACGCTGGCTGTCAAACGAAATGTTGTAAATTGTGTTTTTGAATTGAAATCTGAAATCAAAATTGCTCTTGGAAGTGCAAAGGAAACAAGACTTTTTGGTATACTTAAAACGACATAGAGTGGTTGGAGAGAGTATCATACCTAGCAGATGTGTTCGAACATCAAGATAAGCTTAACCTGAAGCTTCAGGGAATATGAACGAATATTATAACTTTCCATGATAATCTCGGGGCATTTTTATCAAAGCTGCAAAATCGGTAAAGAAAATAAATCTTGGAAATATTGTAAATTTGAGAAAGTCTGCGGTGTGGTAGATGAATCTGATTGTGAGATAATTAAAATTTTGAAAGAAGCGATTTCTGGGCATCTTGAATCTCTTAAGAAGAATCTGCATTTACGCTTTACCCCTTCTCTTCTTCCCTTGATGTTGCCAGCATTCCCGATGAATTATAAGATGAATTCTTTGATTTGCATGATAATCTCGGGGCATTTTATCAAAGCTGCAAAATCGGTAAAGAAAATAAATCTTGAAAATATTGTAAATTTGAGAAACTCTGCGGTTTGGTAGATGAATCTGATTGTGAGATAATTAAAATTTTGAGAGAAGCGATTTCTGTGCATCTTGAATCTCTTGAAAACGAACTGCATCGCTATTTTTCTGAGCTGAAAAAAGAAGAATCTGCATTTACGCATTACCCATTGTCTTCTTCCCTTGATGTTGCCAGCATTCCCGATGAATTACAAGAGGAATTCTTTGATTTGCAGAATGATTCCGAGTAAGATGAAAAACTGCAGACACAATGTTGGTGTAGTATTCACCATTCATACCCAAAGGTAAAATTGATTGACTTTTCTAGAATATATTTTTAACACTATTCTTCGATTAAAAACAAAATTAAGATATTATTATAATGACATAGGTTGGCGTTAACAAAACATTTTTTTTAATTAAAAACTTAACCACGAAGGTTTAGTGAATAGTATTATAATCATAATATTGTCTATAGAACAATAATTTAACAAAATTCTGAGCTGTCAAGTAGAACAAGTCTTTTGTTAGTGAAAATTTCACATTTGTCACCTTTGACCTTTAATATTTTCCACCTTTGTCCATTGAACTCGTCGAATGTTTTACCAAGCCCTGAACCAGCCTTATATTTTAATAGCATTATCCACTCTAGAAATTTCGAAGGTCGAACCCAAGAAGAAAGAAAGCTTGTGTGACTAATAGGAACTAACTAATTAATCTAACCATCCTTAAAAAAAACTACTGATTTCTAATTATTTCGTGTACATCAAAGTATTGACCCTGCACTGATATTGTAAACTTTCGTCCTAGATTGTTGGTGCGTGAAGACTGCCACCCATTGGCCCACTTTGAAATAAATAATTATACCTCTGGGTCTGTCATTATGGTTTTCCGTGGTACGTCTTACGTAGACAAAAAATACTCGCATAATTGCTTTGTTAAAAAAAATTAATTACAGATAAAGATTTGTCATCGTTCACCACCGGTTTGCTATTTAGTGTTTGACGAATAATATTTATATTAGTTTAAGTTAGCACCTATAGTATCTATACACAGGTGGGTTTTATATGCATACTTATACATTTACGTCCTATATTTTGTTATACATACATATAAAGTAAATAAATAAATATTCATATTTATAGCTCTATATCTCTATTTCTCTCTCTCTCTCTCTCTCTCTCTCTCTCTCTCTCTCTCTCTTATCTAATATATAAAGCTCAGTTCTGTATGTAACGCATATGTTTGTCGTTGGTCTTGGATGGATTTAAGTGTTAGACAATTATCATGCGCATTTGTCTAAATATATGAGTTAAAAAATTACTATTGAAAGTGTTGGGAAATAATTTTCATTTTTCAAATTATAGGCAAATTGTCGGCATGTTCATTAAACACAAGTTTTAAAAAAAATATCATCTTTTACAAAAATTCTAATTATGTCTTTATTTAGTCCTATAGCACATACTTCCCTTTGATAAATTAGGAAAACACAATTACTTCCCTTTATAAAACCATTGCATTAGTGGAAAATAATTTACTTTTTATTACTTTGTTTTGGTGTTGGGAAAAAAAATAATTACATAATTAGCGGGGATTGATCAAGTGCAAATGTTGTAGGTATTTTACGGATAAGCTTGGAGTATTAAAATTGTTTATTAAATTGAAACAGGCGCGTTCGTTTAAGTGAGTGCAAAAGACTATGAATAAGTTGGGGTACTATAGTCGTTCATTAAGCTAAAACAGGTGATTCCGCCCCGGGCGTTTATGTTCGCGTTAGTGTTTTCTTTGTGTTTAGGTGGGTTTGCGTTAGTGGTTGCGTTTTGATTTGGTTCGTTTTTGTTCTTTCTTTTTTCGTTTTTGTTTGTGTTTTTTTGTTTGGGTTTGTATTTGTGTTTTTGGTTGGTTTTGCGTTTGGATTTGGTTTGTTTTCGTTTGCTTTTTCGTTGTTATTTTTTTTGTTGGTATTGGTGTTTGCGGTTGGGTTTGTTGTTAGGTTTTTGTTTTCGTTTGCTTTTTTGTTTGTTTTTTCTTTGTGTTTGTATTGGTGTTTGTGGTTGTGGTTGGGTTTGTTGTTAGGTTTTTGTTTTCGTTTGTATTTGTAATTGTGTTAGCGTTATGTTTGCGTTTTGTTGTTTTGGTTGGTTGTGGTTTGGGTGGGCAATGCCGGGTTTATGATGATTACTAAACACACAGGTAATGGTCTATAACAGAAAGGTTTTTCACAGAAGCCAGGACAGGGCCTGGCCGGGACGGCTAGTATATATATATATATAAGGATTTAATTACACTCAAACGTCTTAATCTATTAGGAAAACAAAACGTCAGTTTCAATACCATCATTAAGGTGAAGTAAATCATCATTGGATCATTTCTCTTCATATTATGCTCTTCCTTTTATTCGTTTTAATATTCTTTTTAATATCTCCTTACGATCAAATTATAATTTTAACAAGAATTATAAAATCAGTTATTAAAAAAAATATTTATTAATTTAATTTATTTATTTGTTTGCTTTTTTTTGCATTCTTCTCTGTCCTCCAAAAAGTACCAATTAAATTTAACCTCGTAGCGGAAACGTAGGTGTGCAGCTCGTCTTTAAAATTCTCCCTTACCCCCACACCTGTTCTTCTCTCCCAGCCTAACCCACCACCAGTGATGGAGGACGCGATAGCTTCTATAGATTGGCAGACGACGGGCCTTACAGAGTACATGGTCAGTTTGATCATCAACGGCTTCGTTTGTTTTTTCGGCATCGTGTTCAATGTCGTTAACATGATGGTGTTCATCAAGCAGGGGTTCAAAGACTACATGAACATTTCTTTGTTGAGTTTGTCTGTGGCTGACACGATAGCGCTCTTGTCCCAGCTATGGACATGTTTCTACATGAAGGTGCTGGTGCAAGACGCGTTGAGCCATTGGCTCGCTGTGATATATTTAGCCTCCAGCTGGCCCCACGTGATCTCCATCCGGGTAATTAGCTTTCTTGTAGTCTTCATCACATTAGAGAGGTACCTGTGTATTTCTCTCCCTCTAAAGATCAAGAGCATCGTAACACACAGAAGGACTATTGTGATTATTGGATTCGTCTATTTTTTTACGATATCAACTGCGATACCAATATACTTTGCTTGTTATACGGGCCCAGTATTCGATTATGATACCAATAACACGATCGTAGTTATATTGTACACAGAAGACGGTGTGGCCATGGAGAGTGTGACCTTAATGTTCGGTGTCACAGTTCAGCTGACGTCATTCATTATGGTGGTTATTCTGACCATCGCGCTGGTCCAAAAGTTTGTCCAGACGACAAAATGGCGTCTGTCTACGTCATCAGCAACAAGGCAGGATCACGTGACCAAACGCGACAAGTCTGCTGTGAAAATGATCATCCTCATCTCCACCATCTATATCGTCTGCTACACGCCACTGTTTCTCATGACGATTGCCATGGTGTGTGTCAAAGATTTTAGCGCCACTGGCAGGTACCGAAATTTTTTCGTTATGATGACGTCTGCTGCCTTCACTGCCGACAGCATCAACTCTGCCATTAGCATCCTCGTCTACTTCAAGATGAGCACCAAGTTTCGACAAACTTTTTTCACGATTTTTTATTTCCTAACTTCTTAAAGCGGCGTATAGTTTCTGTTTTGCTTTGTTTTTGTTTTGAAATGGTTTATTTAAGGCCATCTAGAGCCATTCAAACGTAGCTAGCGTCACTGTATGTTGTAGAATATAAGTGTTCAAAAACTCGCAAGGTTTTAGGGGATAATTTTAAAATATTTGTACTCAAGATTTCATTGTTCGTTCAACTATCTGAAATCTGTCCTGCGCACAAGCATAATAATATAGTCTACATTTTGTGGATTATTTCGCAGTGTATAGACATGACGTATAGACAGTATGCCATGAAAACATTTTTGTTGTTAATTTTTGTTTATTTTTGTTAGAATCTAAAGCACCTTAACACGGCTGGAAAGGCAAGTTATTGTGAAGACCTACTTCAATTTTCGGCAACAGTATACTATAACCTCGTTATTGTTATAAAACTCGTTATAAATTCACAAAACTCCGAAAATCTGAGGTTTTGTGGTGCTAGCGTGGAAACCTACATATGTGTAGAAACATTAAATTTGGCACTGCCTACAGATTCTACTAAAACATGCTGTTGCTTCTTTTCATTCACAGATTATGTTTCTGTCTTGTATACAAGAAATTGACTTTTGTCACGAGAAAGTATCTCTCATATCTATCTATAACAATCATAGGAGATCAGCAGACCACATTTGAGAGAAATATGGACACACACATTTCAAATGTTCATTACCTCCTTCCAGAATGAATAAAAAAAATTTAATCAGCCATGGATATATTTTTTAAACCACGAATATTGTTTATATATTTAATGTGTAGCCTAAGTAAGTCGTTAATTCTGTGTTTGTTGTTAAAATATGAGTGATCACACATCACATTGTATGTTTTTTGTGAGTGATCACACATCAGTTTGTGCTTGTTGCAAGGAGTCATCACACATCAGTTTGTCTCAACGTCAAAGAAGAAAGAAATTGGAATTGTCAACCCACATAAATAGAGTCCTATAAGAAAGTTGATTTTTTTTGTGAAAAAAATTTGGTGGTGAGTATAATATGGCAGCTACCTTAAAAAATGAAAGAAAATTGTTTTTTTTAAATAAATCTTAAAATTTAAAAAATACTTGTTAAAATAGTAATGCAGACAGCTGACGTCGCTTTTTTTAACACAAGTGGTCAAAGCCTTGCAAAAGTTTTTTTTTTTTTTAAATATCTGTCTCTTGTTAATATTTTTAAACGATTGAAAACTTGATGTCAATACATCATGATGATAAGTTGTGTTGATAAATCTTTGATTGAAAGAAAAATATCTATGTCTATCAATGCTAAACTCCCAGAAAAAAAAATTTCAATGTCTAAAATTCTCAAACAAAAATCTACCACTAGACCGAACATTTTAGATATCACAGATATTGCATTAAATTAATGATTCGAATAGAGGCTTGACTTAAAGAGGGTGTGTTCTCGTTTAAATATCAAACAACAATTTTAAGCTGTTCAGTTATGTTCGTCATTTAGGCGTATCAATCAATCAGCTGTAAGTAGTACCTAAACACACTCGACATAATTAAGCATGAGCATGGTCACTGAAACCACCAACGTCCAGTTGTTGGTTTAATGGTGTGAAACAATAAGGCGTCGACCATTTTGTGGTGGTACCATCAGACATCACGATGTGTTGATGTACTTGGGCCGAGATGATGTGGTACATCATGATGTTAATCACCTTGTTGTGGTACCATCAGACATCACGATGTTTTGATATATGTACATCAGTTGAGCTGATGTCGTACATCATGATGTTAATCACCCTGTTCTGGTACCATCAGACATCACGATGTGTTGAACTGATGTGGTACATCATGATGTTAATCACCCAGTCCAGAACGAACTAAAATCTTCCTACAGACACTAGAAATGGACTCATGTTCGAATTTGGACATCAGCTAACGTAATCACATCAACGAGTCAAACTGACTCTAGTCCAATATTTAGAAAAACCATTATAGGCATCGGGGCCTTATTTTTAGAATAACCACATTAGGTATCCCATCTTTCTATTCAAACTAACCACATCAGAAACTTTAGCCTTATATTTAGTTAAACCACTTTAGAGACTGTAGCCTTATATTTAGTTAAATCACTGTAGACATCCCAGCGTTACAGTCTAACCACCTTTAAATGACGATAGCCTACCATTGATCTAGCCAATTATAGCCTGGTTAACAAAGACGCCCTACAATAGTTGACAGAGCTATCGTGTTCACATTGAAGAAACTGGCATCCACTTATATAAACCATTCATGTGATATATCATGATATGTACGTAGTATTTAATTAAATTGTCTTCTAGTCAACATTTTAATTGAAGGCAAATCTGTGATTATGGCGAAGGCAAAATAAATAAACATTCTTAATTACCGAACGACAGTCTCTTATTAGTAAACTTACTATAATTAAGAATTGGTTATAATTATATTGTAAATAAGATCTATGTAATTCGGGAAAATTACATTTTACGGTAGAACCGAAGTAACTTACAATTCGAACAATTATCCATCGAAGGCAAAGCTACAATAACCAAATTTAACCAAAATAAATTTTAATAAAGGATAATTAAATCGGTGGCATTTTAAATTTTTAATTGACATAAACGCTTTTATATATAAGTAGATCATGAATGTGACGTGTAAATGTATGAATATGTTAAAACAAGTAAACCGTGATAGACAAATGTAACTCAGCATCTATCAAGCCATAGGACCAGAATGAAATTTTGTTAACATTTTTGCTTGTCATCGACTGAAACTTTACACCACAAATAGGCTTAGCCTTCGAACCTACAAAAATAAAATACCAATGCCAATGTAAACTACCATTAAACTCTAAATTACATGAATAAACAATGATGGATACTACGACTGCGCATGTCACCACGGCGTTGACGTCACAGCCGGAAGTAGATGACGTCGCCATGATAAGCCCTGAACTTGTAAATCTGTTTTCTCTCATCAACAACGGCATAGTATCTACAATCCTATGTATCCTGGGCGTCTCGTTTAACGTCGTCAACATGCTGGTGTTCATCAAGCAAGGCTTCAAAGATTACGTCAACATTTCTTTATTGGCGCTGTCGGCTGCTGACCTAGTTTCCCTTTCCACACAGCTGTGGATTTCTTTCAACATCAATCCTCTGATGCCAAAAATAGCTCCCCACTGGTACGCGCTTCTATATTTAACATCCAGCTGGCCCCACGTGATCTCCATCCGGGTCATAAGTCTTCTGATTGTCTTCATCACGTTAGAGAGGTTTCTCTGTATTTCTTTGCCGCTTAAAATCAAGAGCATCATCACACACAGAAGGACGATCCTAATTATTGTATCGATATTCGTATTCGCTATATTAACAGTCGTACCGATTTACACCGCTTGCTATATCGGTCCAATAATAGATTCGAATACAAACGCGACAATTCAGGTCATAATGTACACTGAAAATGGCGTTGGTATCGAGAGTGTGACAGTATCGTTTGGTGTATTCGTCCAGCTGTTGTCGTTTGGTCTAGTTGTGGTGTTTACCGTGGGGCTGGTCAAGAATCTTGTCCAGACAACAAAATGGCGGGAAAAGTTGAGTTCTGTGTCCAAACACGAGCAGATTTCCATACGAGACAAGGGCACGGGTAGGATGGTCATCCTGATTTCATCCATCTATATCGTCTGCTACATCCCTTTCTGTCTCGGCTCGCTAGCGATGGTGGTGTACAAGGACTTCGGCTTTACCGGAAAATACCGGCATTTTTTCAGCATCGCTTCCGGTTTTATGTTCACGCTTGACTGCATCAACTCCTCCGTCAGTATCTTTGTCTACCTCAACATGAGCACACGATATCGGGAAAAGTTTAACCACATTTTTAATTTCACCTCTAAATCTAGCACGAAAGTTAATTTAAAATAGACAGTCAGATCCCGTTAAGATAATTGGCCTAATATTTCAAAACGTCTCAGTCGACAAAGAGACAGGAAAATTAAGAGATTATATTTTATTATTTATGAAACCTCATCTGTTTAATTATGTCTTAAAATACAAAATTTATCAAAATAGCGTGTACGCCCTCGTGGATGTGCTGGATGTTCCTCTGATGTACACATGAAAACTCGAATGTTGCTACAATGAGGATTATATTTCCCTGTTTCAGACCAACGATAAGTCAGACCGGTGAATTGGATTCACTGATTTCTGTGACACCCCCCCCCCTTCCCCCCCCCCCCCCCCCCCGGCCATAGCATGCGTCAGGTAGCCATCGGATCCTACAGACCCGAGACAGTTAACTATTAGAGCAGGATAGGCTTAAGGACATCCTACAGACCCGAGACAGTTAACTGTCAGGGTTAGTGGGACCCAGAGACATCCTACAGACCCGAGACAGCTGACCAACAGAGCTGGATGAGCTTAAGGACATGGTACACATCAAATAGTTTTAGTAAAAGATGTAGACATTGTTTTATCGATATAATTCTAAAAATGTTTGAAGATATGTTTTTGTCTCGCAATCCTCGGTGGTTGAAAGTCTTTTAGTCATATATGGCATGAACTGTCTCGTGATTAATGTCTGTGTGTCAAGACAGCGTGGCCTAGCAGTAGAGCACTAAAGTGCTAGACTGCTAACCCGATAGTCTCGAGTTCGAATCTGGTTTCAAGTCAGTAGACCGTCCCTGAGTCCACCCAACACTGATGGGTACCAAACTTAGGTTATGAAGAGGTCAAGAACCATATGAACTCTACTTCATCTGTCCACTAGATTGCTAGTTCTAAAGACAAATTTAGTTTTTTTCTTTTGTCTGTGTGGTTAGCGTGCTGTTGGACGATCATCCCTTGCCCAATTTTCTGATAAAACTTTCAGCGTGCCTCAAGTGTATATGACGGTTCAATTTTATAATTATATTTAATTAAGTGAATTCCGTAAACTGAAATGTATTATACTTGTTTTAATAAATAATACTAATTTTAACACAAAAATAAAAATAAAAACATTTCACTTG